CAAGGTTTACTTTGGAAACGGGACGTTCACAGTGAAGGATCTGCAGCCAGGAGACAAAGGCTTGTACTTCTGTGCTGTGAGTCAACACAGTGACACACACAGGAGGAGGCAGAACAAAAACCCTCACTGCTGCTACACCTCTCCATCCTGCAGCTCAGACTGTAGGGGGGGCTGGAGGACAGCAAACGCTCCGATTACCCCCCACATCTTTTATGTCGCCTGTAACTCTCTCTGTTTGTACACTATCAGTGGTGTCTTCTGACTTTCTGAACAAGGTCTCGCTCTGCTCAAAGTACTAAACTCATTTGAACCCAGTGTCACGGCTTCCTTCCTCTATAGGCCACTTTAGACGCCTTTTAAAAACAGACATTTTGAACGCGTTATCTTTCAAGTTATTAGTTTCCACTCTTGTTTGCGATGACCTGGGATGTTTGTATTATCCTTGTTACACAAATATCACCTTTTAGGGACATTGATCATTATGTACAGAAATTAAATTGTCAACCGCCAATATATGGACAGCCAGGTGTGCCGGTTCTTTGGTCGACTTTACTATACTTCATGCCCCAGTCAACAGGACTAACTCAGGTAACAGGGTACACAAGTCTTGTCTTTATACCACCCACCTACACACACACAACACAGCACACAGCACACACACACACACACCAACAAACACACACACACACCACACACACACCAAACAGCACACACACACCACAGACCACACACACACCTTTGTCCTTTGGTACTTCTTCGACGTCCCTTCCCGAAGACAAATTTTACTAGGTCATATTTATTATCACTTCCAGGGGACGACAAGTAGTACTGCATCAGAGTTGTCTTAAAACACTACTAGAAGTTCCCTTTTATACCTTCTGCCAAGAAATGGTACCGCAGCGTCAAACTAATTTGACTGCAAGTTATACAATTTATTGGGAACTACACTACTCCAAACACACAAAGATTGTTTTAATCTTAGATTTTGTCTGACATCCTTTCCACCAAACCCCAGGCCGAAAAACGGACAATGAGAAAAGTTCTGTGGTAATCACGATAATATATACTACTAGGGTGGTACAAGACGTTTGTTCTACGTATTCAGTATGAGGTATAACCTCATTGCTTCTTCCTCTCGGGACTAAATTACAAAAAATTTATGTCCTAATAGTACTGGTAAAAGTGTTGCTTTATGACATAGACACGGCCGACGATTTACAAATCAAACACCTAATTTTTTCCGTTACCACTGGACACACCCTAGTTACTCTTTATAAAAATATAATTGTATTTCGTTAAAGTTATACATAAATTCGCCTGATACTTCAGAAAAAACTACTATTAATGGTATCTTTTTTGTCTTATGTTTCGGTTGTAAAACTTACTAGATTGTAGATAAATTGCAAATATAGTATACAGTATATAATCCTTACATATATCCTCTGTAGCACTTTTAAATTGGTTAAAATTAAAATCTATTTAAAACTACTATGAAACTACAAGAGGCACTTCAGCATTGACCCATTGACACGTACTGTAAAGTAGCGACAAAGTGTTGAAAATATGTCAGTTATTTCATGTATTGTTGTCTTTGCTCTCTCCTTTGTTTTATAAGTTTAACTTATTATTGGAATCCCGGCATCGAGGTGTGTATTACCTATGATATAATTATGGGGATGTAACTAACAGGTAGAATGGTGGCACCAATATATGGTAAAAAAGACAGATATGAAGGGAAAAGGGTAGAAGTAGTACCTATAACAAGGCAAGGGATTTTAAGGACACAAGTTTTTTTGGTCTGATTAATACCTTGACACCGTGATTTCGCACTGGTGTTTTCCTCACTTTCGTCCGCTATTTCGTGCAACCGTCCCCCCAACTACGTCGGCCACACGTCCTCGACTCGAGTCAGAACAACAGAGAACTGTCTGCCCTCCTCTCAAGAACATAACTCGCTCCCTGTTAGCGTCCGTGAGCACGACTGACCGACGTGTTTATGTTGGGTGGCGACAGGAGACTTCTGTCTAATCTCTGTGACTCCGCTTCTGACTCTCACATATGCCTGGTAGTAGTTTCGTACTAAAAGGAAAGGGCAGCGGAGGACCTATGCCATGAAGTGTAAGTCTATAGTCTGTTAGAGTATAAAACCATACAACCAGAACGCAAACATGGTCGCTTACTGTAGATCAAACAATCGACACACTTGTCAACAGAGGAGAGGGCCAGGTTGTCTGAGAGGTGAAGAGAAAGACTACTTGCCTCTCCAAAACCTTCTGCGACAGCCGACATTCTCGTGGACACTTCTTTCGTCTTGTAAATTTAACTACTCGGCAAGTCGAAAAACCTATAGAACCCAAAGAGTGGTAATAAAGGGACGTCAACTTCTATATGTTGCATTTATAGTACTATTCAAACAAACATAACCTGTGGATCATGAACCCAGTCGAGCCGAGGACACCTGCTCTCAGACACTGACGATCTCAGATTATTTCTCACCCCCTCCGCCCCCCGTGTCTTCTCAGATGTAGCAGCTTCCCTCCCCCAGAAATTTTTCAGTAGAGTCTGAAGTTAGAAATCGAGATTGGGCTTACGAAATAAGATTCGGGGTGGTTGTGTAAACCAATTAAGGTAAGTCAACTCCAAACATGATGTATTTTCTTTTGGAGTCTAAACGTTACAAATAAATTAGAACATTCCGATAAAGAAACACTTAAGAACATCTATGTCAAAAAATTAACTATAAGTGGTGCGCGCGGTGGGCGGCATATGTGTAGTNTGGAACAAATCGTGTACACAAAGATATCACGCAAAGATCATGATTTTGGAGAATTCAGCAGCAACAAGTTCTCAGCCACCAAGGTTTACTTTGGAAACGGGACGTTCACAGTGAAGGATCTGCAGCCAGGAGACGAAGGCTTGTACTTCTGTGCTGTGAGTCAACACAGTGACACACACAGGAGGAGGCAGAACAAAAACCCCTCTGTTCCTCCATTGCACGTCATCTACGTCACTGCCACCTGCAACTCTGTATCTGTTTCTATACTGTGTTTGACTTTCAATGGCATTACTTTTTTTTATTTTCTAGAACTCGTCTTTATGTAGTTTGACTTTGATTGTTTTTATTCTGGTTGATTTTATATGAGAGTATGTGGGCCTAAAGCTGAGGGAAGTTCTTTGTAACTGTGAAGCCTGGCGTAATATCGCTGCATTGCTGTAAAAAAAAAAACCTAAAACATAATTTGACGGCCTGGTTTCCATGGTGTTATTTTGTTAACATTTGAATAAGTATCGTACATTTTGTTCTTAAAGTTTGCCTTTTTTATTGAATTTAAGCAATTGTTGGTAGATCTTGGTAAAGATCTTGTGTTTTGTATACACTGTGTATGATTTTTTATCTGTTATGTTTGTGGATTATTTAATTGTGAAAAACCATTAAAAGCGTATGTAAATCTAAAAATCTTGATGAAGTCAAACCGAAACATGTTCTCTGTATAATATCACTGTTTGGTAAAACTTAGTTCCAGGGTTCATTNTCTTTGTCCCGCGAGATTTCAACGTCTCATGTAGGCGAGCCTCCAGAGCAAGTCGGACAAAATGACTAACCATCATGCAACGCACTAGCAAGACGTTGATCGCAATTGCGCAGGTCTGCGCAGGTCTCGCTTGTCTCAAACAAGCCTTATCATAACAGGAGGTCGTCCTTCCTGCAGAGAAATGTAACTTCCTGTTATAACAAGCGGCATTAGAGACTCAGGATTAACAGGATCACCATCGAGACTAAATATAATTATATTACTTTAGTTGTCCTACATGAAGTCGAGTATAATTGAATATATTTCACAGTTTTAGAGCTGCAACGATTTGTGGTTAATCGATGAGTAGATCGACAGAAAAAAAATCCGTCTATAAACTATTCAATTCTATCATATTGTGTTTGTGCAAAAATGCCAGGAAATGATGTTTTCAGTCTTGTTCGTATATTTTGGTTTGTTTACAAATAGTTTTTATTCTGTTGCATTTCATATGGGAACATGTGTGCCAAAATCTGAGGGAAAGTCTTTGTAAGAGTAACTGCGTAGGCTTACGTTACATATATTTAGTTATTTCTTTAATTATTGACAGGAGTCCATAATTTGAAATAAATATTTTCAATAAAATGTAAGTCTAAAATCTTGATGAAGTCAAACCGAAACATGTTCTGTGTATAATATCACTGTTTGGTAAAACTGAGTTCCAGGGTTCATTTCAGGTCTGTGTTGTCTGGTCTCCTGCCAACAGGGGGCAGTACAGCATCTCTGTGGTGTGCAGTGAGAGTATGACCCCAGGAAGAAAGGTTTCCTGATGGGAGGCTCTTCAGTAGAACAGCACACAGTGATGAACACACAGAGTAACGTGTTCTTAGAGTCAGTCATAAAACACACAAGATGATCCTCCTCTTCTGCACAGCCCTTCAGGTCATACTGGTTTCAGGTAATAGAACTAAAGATTTATTATCAATAATCACAGTTTTTGATGTAAAACCCCATGATAGCATATTGCTTTTCCACAGGTTCCTCTCTGAGTGACCTCGTCTCACAGACTCCAGCTTATATGTACAAAAACCTCGGAGAAGAAGCCGTCATCAGCTGTTCTCACAGTATTGAAAGCTACAACAGAATCCTGTGGTACAAACAAATGAAGGACGGACAACTGCAGTTCCTCGGGTACATCCTTTCAACTCAGAAAAACCCAGAGCCTGGCCTGGGGGTGAAGATGGACGGAGATGCAAATATAAATAAGAACTGCACACTGACAGTTGAAGGGCTGAGTGAGAACAGCAGTGCACTTTATTTCTGTGCTGCTAGTCTACACAGTGCTGCATGTCTCTGCTCCTCCTGTACAAAAACCTCCTCAACACGGTTCATTTACAGCTCTGTGCACCTGGAACATCACTTCCAACCAACGTCTATGTTCCTGCTGATTACCATGAGAGATTATAATAACAGGAGGCCGTCCTTTCTGCAGAGAAATGTAACTTCCTGTTATAATAGCAAGATAGTTCTCTTAATGTTTACAGTATAGAAGGAATTAGAGACCAAATGACTCATTAACTAATCTGGAGATTAATCTGCATATCAATGAACATGAACATAATCACAGTTACAGGACTGAGAATTGACAGACTGGTATTTTACCGCATGAATTGTGTGAGTTTGTGAAAAAATATTGTTGTTGAAAGCCACTTGGATAATCCAATCGACAAGACCTTTCTGAGATTTGTAATTGACTTACTTTACCAATAACTCATGGTAACACGGGGCGGGTATCTCGTTGAGGGGTAAAATGTGTCGTGCACAATGTCACCGCCCACCTATGATGAGGGAGGGTTAACCTAAAAAAGGGGGGTTCAAATAGCTGCTTCATTCATTGCAATGACACAGAGTCTTTCACCTAACATTTAGACAAACACAAAATGATCATTGTATTCCTGTGCTGGACCATGGAGTGCGTGCTATGAACATTTTTCAGGATGCAGGTAAAAATAGTTTAAAGACGTTCTAAGCATCACATGAATACCAAGTGTTTCTGCTGCTTTGTTGATCTTTCCTGCACAGATTCCCCTGACAGTGAAAGAGTCCACCAGACTCCAGCTGAGATAATCATCGGCCACGAAGGAACAGCCACAATCAGCTGTACTCACAGTATTGACAACTACAAATTGTCAAGGGATAAACAAAACTGCTGTTCCGGGTACCCGACAGCAACTCAAGCGGGAACGCCGGAGCCTGGCCTGGGTGTGAGGATCGGGGGGAGAGCACACGCGGGACACAACTGCACGTTAACCATTGAAGTTGAAGGTTAGCTGAGTGAGAGCCGCAGTGCAGAGTTCTTCTGTGCTGTCAGTCAGGGACACACTGCAGCATGTCACTGCTCCTCAGTGCAAAAAACCTCCTCAACATAAGCTTCCTTTATCTCTGGGCAACAGCTCTGTGCACCTGGAGTAACCCGCTCAGAACAGTGGTGGTTCTGTGAGCGATGGGAGATTATTACGCAGATATTCATCCCGTCTGCTGTGGCTGCTTCTCATGTTAAAGTGCTCCATTAAGCTTTCCCTTAAAACTGTAACTTGAATTATTATGTTTGAATCATCCCAGCAGGTGGAGCTGTAGCTACATAGATGCAGAACTATGGGATATGATGAGGGGAGGGGGCATTAATGAGAGTCTGCAGGGGTCTGTACTAGTTCAGCCGAGTTTCTGCAGCGTTCTGTGTTCATTCAGAGAGGAGGACAACATGCCAACATTACTCTTTCTATCATCGATCATTGGTAATCACATTTTTAGGAGTACAGTTTGAATCTACAAAATAATGATTGACATTGTGATTTTGACAATTGATGCATCGTTTAAGTAATTTTTCATGCAAAAGTAACGTAAAATGTTCAGTCTTGCTTTTCTCTGTTTTGTATCAGACTAAATGTAATCTCTTTGTACTGACAGAACAAGACATTTAAAGACCCCGGAAATTGAGAAACTGGGATTGAACGTGTTTTTTGACATTTTTTAGACCAACTGATTGATCGATAAATCTAGGGAATAATCTGCAGATTCACCGATAATGAAAACAGCTGATATTTATTAGCAATAATATAGTTTCTAGTTGATTAATTCTCTTTTTCTAGGTCTTTGTCTGGGTGTTGAGGTGACGCAGACCCCTGCAGAGCTCCTGATGAGTCCAGGAGACAAGGTGCAGCTGGTCTGCAGCCATGAGAAGACCGACTACACGTTAATGCAGTGGTACCAACAACCCCCCGGAGAGAGAGCTCTGAAACGCATCGGACACTTGAACTACGACAGCAAGGAATACGAGGAGCCTTTCAAAGAACATTTTAAAATGTCTGGAGACCTGACTGGAGGCAAAGCGAAGAACGCGTCCCTGTTCATAGACACGCTGAAGGCAGAGGAGCACAGTGCCGTGTATTTCTGCGCTGCTAGCTTCGCACACTGACTGCAGAGACCCCCTGCTCACACAAAAACGATATACCGTTACTGTTGGGAGTCATTCAAGTAAGAGCCAGAATCAATACAATAAACATGTTATTTTAGCACATTTCTATTTCTAAGCTGTATTTCATTTAATTTTGTATTGCAATGTTAATTTATTGGTTTTATACAGTAAGCATATATTTATTTTATTTTAACTTTTTATTGCACATTCTTGCTTTAATCTTAAGGTTTGTATAAATGTTATATTTTTATCTTTCATTTTATTTCATAAAATCTGTCTAAAAACTATTTCCCCTGGGCTGAATAAAGTATTCTGATTTTAAAGACGAAGTATAAGTTTCATCAAGCATTGTTTGTTTGACTTGGTCAAAATTAATCCAACTTCTACATTTGAATTTATTATTATCAGGCAGCATTTGTTAAAAAATACTCAAACCTTTATAACTAAACAACTTTGTCAAATATAAAAAACCTCGCATGCACACTTTGATCTGCTTACATTATATTTATATCATATTTTGCCAACATTAGATATTAATACAGGATCGAAAAGTTCATTATTCAAGTTTACATTAACTTTGGATAATAACACGTACATGTTGCTCAGCTCTCTTCATGGTTAATAAATAGTTACAAGAATATATTTAGTATTTGGAGTTCTAGTAATGAGCTCAGAATGAAAGCAGTGAACAGCAGGGAGCAGTGAAATCACACCGACATGGAGAGGGCTGGAAGCTCCTCCTCCTTCCTCATCATAATGTACAATAAAAAGGAAGATTTCACAACAATGTGTTTTCATTCATGTATTTGCACGTCTCTGTTTGAGTTCAGATTTGAGCGTACATTTTAAAATGTTCCTCATTTTGTTTTTTTCTATGTCTTTGCTCACAGGTAAGAGTCATAGGATTTTATTTGCTGTAAACCAAAACAAAATCAGATTCAGGGCAAGTTAGATTTTAAGACATTAAGATAAAAACTGTTTGAATTTAATTTAAGACCAATTCTTAAATGCAATTTTACTGTTATCCTTATCTGCGTTAAAATGCTAAATCAGAAGTTAGCATATATAAGACTTTAAAATCATTGATTAAACACTTTATAATAACAATTAAGGCCTTATTTCAGATTATCAAAAGAAAGGCCTATTCACACTTTATATTTTTCGTCCTCCAGACGTTGTGTTATCATCACTTAAGATCCAACAATCACCTGAGAACCTGCTGATAAAGCCTGGACAACAGGAAGCCCGTCTGGAGTGTTTTCACGGCGATGACAGCTTCCCCTACATGCTCTGGTACCGGCACAAGTCAGCAGCCGGAGGTCAGCCGAGAGACATGGATCTGATCGGACTGCTTCATTATGAAAACGCAGACGTAGAGAAGACCTTTGCAACAGAACGTTTCAACATCTCAGGTCACTCAAAGGGCCGAGCTCAGCTCACGATCTCCAACATGAAGCCGGCAGACAGTGCAGAGTATTTCTGCGCAGCGAGGAGCACAGTGTGTCACCTCCTCCGCCTGCTTTACAAAAAGCTGCAGTGACAAACACCTGAATCAGACAGAAACTGATCCTAAAGATATGAGGGAATATCTCAGCTGCTGGAGGGCTATATCCTGCTCTGAGAGGACAGACAAAGTCATGCCAGCTAAAAACATTCTAGGAACACGTCATTATCTCTATCATGAACTAAACCTAATGAATTATTCTAGGTTGACAACATAATGAATCACATTAAAATGGTCCAGGTAAGGGAGATGGAGGGTACATAGAATTGCAGCTTTAATACAGAAAACAAGGGATTTATATCAAAAATATTCTTTCAAAATAATCAGTGTGTCAAACCGACTCCAACTTCATTCAACGACTTCAAGTCAATGTAAACAGCATTTTAGAAATAAGCCTTTATAATCACAAATGAACAATATTTGAAACAATGTAATAAATATGATGATTGTTTGTGTGTACAGATGCATATACAGTAAGGCTGCTCGATTATGGCAAAAATCATAATCTCGATTATTTGGGTCAATAATTGATTATTAAAACCGATTATGCATTTACTTTGAAAACATCCATTTATTGAAAAAGAAAATGTGAACGGTATGTTTTTAACGGTTGATTACCCTGAACTTTAAGTATAATTCAACTGAAACATTTATAAAATAATTTAAAAAATAATAATTAAAAAAATAAAAATAAAATAAAATAAAATAATCGTTTTATTTCGATTATGTTGTTTTCGTAATCGTTGCGAGCCAAAATCGTAATTGCGATTAAAATACGATTAATTGAGCAGCCCTAATATACAGTACATGTTCATATGTTTATATGCACCATAATGCTAGCCTACTGCTATAAGTATAACCAACATAATAAATAAGCAAATGTTTATTTTCTGCCAGCACTACTGAATACAAATCAAATAAGTAATACATGAGATGAACAGAAAACAAACGAGACGGACTACACACTGTTACACGTTGTTGCACACCTAAAGACTGCAAACATAACTCGGCTTCATCAACATCTTTCTGTACGTCTCACTTCCAGCTACAGAGACTCTGACGTCATTTCCTCCACACAGAACTAAAGAGGTGGCCGTTTGTATTTTCCTCCACTTCACTTCCTCCTCCTGAATCACAATGATCCCAGGCTTCACCTCCTTCACTCTCTTTGTGCTTTGGGCTGCAGGTAAAGTGTTTAAACGATGACAACATACATTGTGAATATATTTCTAGGGTGTTATATTTAAAAAAAATATTTTGTCTGTTCCAGATGTGTGTCAGTCGGTGCTCATCACTCAGTGGCCTCACTACATCTCCAGGCTTCCCAACGGTTCGGCAGAAATGCACTGCTACCAGAACGAAACCAACTATGATTATGTGTACTGGTACCGGCAGCAGAGAGGACAGGGTTTTCAGTTAGTGGCGTATATGGTAGCTGGCTTTGCAAACTATGAAGAAGGGTTTACATCTGGTTACCAGGCAGTGAAAGTGAAGGAGAAGCAGCTGTGGTCTCTGAGCATCAGCAGCGTTCAGGAGGAAGACGAGGCTGTTTATCTGTGCGCTGCCAGTCTGCACAGTGCTGCCACAGACCTCAGGCCTGCACAAAAACTCACTGCCACACGAGAGGCTGCCTGACGAACAGCCATCATGTTTAAATACAGGAACTCTTATGTTAAAAGGACATATCAGTGACTAGAAAGTGAGGAGGAGAGGAATGTATGAAGGAAAAGGAAAAAACTGTGCAAAATAAAACGATTATTGATTTTTTTGTGTTTCCCTGACGAACTGAGGTTGTGCAAATTACTGTCCAGAATCTTCAGAATCAGAAATCAGTTTATTGTATTATTATTACGTACAAGTTTTCTTTAGTGTATGAGGAATATAATGATATATATAAATATGAACAAAAAATATCTTCTATAGATTTGAAAATAAATGAAGAAAAATACAATTATGTTACGAAAAACTGAACCAATGTTTCGGAATTCAAATTAAAAGATGTCAAAAAGAATATTTGAAGTTATAAAATGACACCATAAATATGAAAAAAAATGTCGGTATAAAAAGGAAAGCTTAGAAGAAAAGTTACAATATAATTTAATTTGCACACAATTATTGCTAATAATATTGAACATATAAAAATGTCATTAAAAACATGTCAAATGTGTCTGAATAAAAAAGTGTATAGAGGAACTGGATTACAAATATGAAAAATACTAAAAAAAAACGATATAACTACTTTACAATAAAAAAAAGGAATGTGCAAAAATTCAAAAAGATAATAATAAAGAAATAATTACAGAGATGTAGTCCAATTGAATTATGCACGTGAGAATGTAAAGCATAAAGAAAGATATTTAAATTGAACCAACAGGTGGAGGCACAGCACTGTGATGATGATGATGATGATGATGATGATGATGATGATGATGATGAACGAGCACAAAGCCTCCCCTCTTCCTCCTCACATCAGTGCCTCACCATGTCTCCACATGTGCACACATTCTGGTTACTCTCCATCTGGTTTCCATGTAAGACTTTGTATCTCAACCTGAATCTGAAACTAGTGTTTGAAAGCTATAAGTAATGTATTGTCTTCTGGTCGGTTGCTTCAATATGAGTTTAAACTCAAATCTGTTTTCTCCACAGGTCAGGCGAGCGCTGCTACATTTCAACCATCTCCTGCTCAGATAGTGACGGAGAGCACTGAGGTCCAGATTAAATGCAGACATGATGATTCTTCCCTTTTAGTAATGCTCTGGTATCAGCAGAGAAAAGACAGTCTCTCTATGACCCTCATTGGGTATGGATATGCAAACAGCGAGCAAACCTATGAGGGTCAGTTTAAAAAATCGTTTGAGCTGCTGAGGAAAGAAGACACGCTGAGAGGAGCTCTGATTATACGCTCAGCAAACCTGTCACACTCGGCTGTGTATTTCTGCACAGCCAGTAGGGATGTCCCGAACCGATCACCTTTTTTTGCTCCCGATCCGATTCCGATCATTTGATTTTGACAATTTGCCGATACCGATTTTTCCCGATCCGATTTTTATGCAATGCATTAAGGGAAAAAAAAGAAAAAAAGCATTCAAGTTGTCCCTTAAGGTTATTTTTTTAATTTAAATTGGATATTCTATCCAACATGGATATAGCTTCTTTTTTTCACAGCAGCATTGGATCAGTTCAGTTGTGCAGCATTGGATCAAAACAAAATAAAGCTTTCAGTACTCGTTAGCTTACTGCTACAATTAGACACTGCGCCCACTCTGTTGCCAGATTTGAGAGAAATAAGCAACCAGGTCTATGAAAACAAGCCCCAAAGAAGCAACACATACATGATGTTGTGTCATTGAAACCAAAACTAAGGCCTCAGGATGACTTTAAGACTTGAACATGGTCATTTTTGTTTTGTAACATTGAATACAAAATTTAAAATAAAAATCCCGATCCCCGATTTTTTTTCTCCCGATTCCGATCTTTTGAAAATCACGTGATCGGCTCCGATCCCCGATCACGTGATCGGATCGAT